CTGCCTGGCCTGCTGTGTTCATCCAGCTCTACACCTTGTTATCTCAGATTCTCCAGCATTGGCAGTCCCCACTATCTCAGAAATCATTCTGAGTTCTGAGGAAGGGTCACGGGACCAGAAACGTTAACTCTGAATTTTTCTTCACAGATGCTGCCAGGCCTGCTGAGCTTTTCCAGAAATTTCTTTTTTTGCTCTTGAGAAATCATTCAAGCCCATTTCTGAAGAAGAGCCCCGAATCGAAACGTCAACTTTCCTGCTCCTCTGATGTTTCCTGACCTGCTGTGTTACTCCAGCTCCACACTGTGTTGTCTCTGACTCCAGAATCGGCATTTCTTGCAATCTCAAAGAGAAATCATTGTTTCTTCAGATACTGTAATTCAGTCACAGTTGAATGGAATCAGAGTAACAGAATTTCCATCTATCAGAAAACCAAATATCTTAAAATTGATGGCTCAGTGCCAACGTAATCACAAGCAATGCCATCCAATAATGGCCACAACATCATCACAACTGCTTTTCATGACCATCTCAGGTACCAATTTATGTATCTGGTTTTTACTTTAATCTTTCTCAACTTGTCTCTTATTTCTACAGTATGCATGTGCCTCGTGTGACTATATCTTCTTATGTTTAGCATTTAATAAACTCATTCCTTTTGTTAATTCAAGGAAACCTAGTTAAATTGGCCCCTTTTAAGACATAAATTCATCTGGGTCAGGGAGAAAGGTATCCACAAAGGAAGGAATCCTTTATAGTCAAACCTTGTTGTGACCACCTGGAGGGTGGGTGAATAACCAAAGCAGCCAGTCAGATCACTCCTCTCCTGGGGGTTTAACAATTTAGTGTATTCCCTCTATAACTGTAAAAAATTGGGGAACATCATCCGGGGTCTTGTCAAAACAGTTCCCACGGTTGTCTCTGCTAGAAAAATCTATATTGACATCCCAAAGGCAAGCTAAAAGAGTGGTATCTCAGGGTGAAACAAAAACAGAAGTTACCGGAAAAGCTCAGCAGGCCTGGCAGCATCTGTGAAGAGAAATCAGTTATCATTTTGGGTCTGCTGACCCTTCCTCATTCTTTTTGTTAATTCAAGAGGAAGAGTTCTGAAGAAGGGTGACAGGACCCAAAATGTTAACTCTGATTTTTTTCTTCACAGATGCTGCCAGACCTGCTGAGTTTTACCAGCAACTTCTGTTTTTGTTCCTGGTTTACATCATCTGCAGTTCTTTCGGTATCTCAGGTTCGTTGGCCTCACCCTGCACCACATTGTTTTTGGCATCTTTCCCAGTTGCTGTATGGTTGAACCCAGGAAGGTTTGAGCAGTTAGCGTTATGGCTTCCAGCAGTATTATCCGCTCCTTCTTCACAATGACCATGACCTCTAGAACAGGTGGGTTGGACAGCTGCTTCTTATTGAAGGCCTCAAGAGTGTGGAGGGTCAACTGCCATTGCTTGTTGCTCTTTAGGTTCCTAATCACCCTCTGATCTGTTGGCTGAACTTTGCCCATGGCATCAAGAGGTGAGGAAATCAACACTCTTGAGATCATCAGTATCTGAGTGCACAAGGCAATTATCTGTAACAATGATAATCTTCCCTTTCTTCTACTGATAAATTTTATGCACTTTCCTGATCCACACTTCAAGAATTCTCAAGTTCATCCACATGCATTTGTTAGCCTCATATAGTGTGGGTGGTCTCTTAATATTTGCAAAACAACGTGGCTTCTTGAATTTTCCTACCACAAGAAGCAGCAGCTTTTCAGTGCCTTCAAAATTGGCATAGACCACAGCAGTAAAACATTTCTTGCTTTGTTTTCCACAAATACGTCTTTCCTATTTACATTTTAAGGAACAATCTGTCAAAAAAAAAGTAAAATATTCTAATTTTGATTGCATTAAAAATGTTACCTGGCACATATTTGTTCAGGATGTGGGCAAGACCATTTTGCAGACAATCATGTGTCTTGGCTGCTGGAATGGTAGTCTACTGTCAATCATCAATAACGTGATGGAAGGTGTCATCAACTGTGCTATCAAACAGCATCTGCTCAGCAATAATCAGCTCAGAGATAACACAGCGTGGAACTGGAGGAACACAGCAGGCCAGGCAGCATCAGAGGAGCAGGAAAGTTGACGTTTCGGGTCGGGACTCTTCTTCAGATCTCAGTGATGCCCAGTTTGTGTTTCACCAGGGCTACTCAGCTCATGACCTCATTACAGCCCTGGTTAAGACATGATCAAAAGAGCTGAATTCCAGAGGTGGGGTGAAACTGATAGCTCTTGATATCGACTGAGTGTGGCATCAAGGAGCTGTAGCAAAACTGGAATCAATGCGTATCAGGGGGCAAAATTTCCAATGGCTAGATTCATACCTGACACATAGGAAGATGGTCATGGTTGTTGGAGGTCAATCATCTCAGCTCCAGGACATCTCTGCAGGAGTTCCTCAGGGTAGTGTCCTGGGCCCAACCGTCTTCAGCTGCTTCATCAAAGACCTTCCCTCCATCATAAGGTCAGAAGTGGGGATGTTTGCCAATGATTGCACAATGTTCAACACCATTCTCAATTCCACAGATACTGAAGCAGTCCCTGTTCAAATGCAACAAGATCTGGACAATATCCAGGCTTGGGCTGAGAAGTGGCAAGTAAACTTCGTGCCACACAAATGCCAGGATATGACCATCACCAATAAGAGACAATCTAACCAACACCCCTTGACATTTAATTGTATTACCATCACTATCAACCTCCTGGGGATTATCTTTGACCAGAAACTCAACTGAACTCACCACATAAACACAGCAGCCACAAGAGCAGATCAGAAGCTGGGAATACTGCAGCGAGTGACACACCCCCTGACTCCTCAAAGCCTGTCCACCATCTACAAGGCACAAGTCAGGAATGTGATGGAATACTCCCCACTTGCCTGGATGAGTGTAGCTCCAACAACACACAAGAAGCTTGACACCATCCAAGACAAAGCAGCCCGTTTGACTGGAGCCACACCCACAAGCATCCACTCCCTCCACCACCGATGCTCGGTAGCAACAGTATATACTATCTACAAGATGCACTGCAGAAATTCACCAAACATCTTCAGACAGCACCTTCCAAACCCACAACCACTTCCATGTAGAAGGACAAGGGCAGCAGATATTAGGGAACACCACCACATTCAAGATCCCCTCCAAGCCAATCACCATCCTGACTTGGAAATATATCACTGTTCCTTCACTGTCGCTGAGTCAAAATCATGGAATTCCCTCGCTAAGGGCATTGTGGGTCAATCAACAGCAGATGGACTGCAGCGGTTCAAGAAGGCAGCTGACCACCACCTTCTCAAGGGCAGCTAGGGATGGGCAAGAAATGCTGGTCAGTCAGCAGCAGCAGTACAGAGAAGGTTCACTAGCTTAAACCCAGGTATGGAGGTATTATCTTATGAGGAGAGTTTGAGTAGTTAGGTCTGTACTCATTAGAGTTTAGAAGGCTGAGAGGTGACTTCATTGAAACATATAGGATCCTTAGGGAACTTGATGGGGTGGATGTGGAAAAGTGGTTTCCCCTTTTGGGAGATTCGAGGACCAGAATCTCAGAGTATCATTCTTTACGACAGAGTTAAGGAGGAATTGCTTCTCTCAGATGATTGTGAATCTGTGGAATTCATTACTGGAGGTTGGCTGAGGCTGGGCCATTTAGTATATGATAAGATGGGCTGAATGGCCTACTTCTGCTCCTACATCTTATGGCCTGAAAACTTGGTTTGCTTTATTTTAGTTTTATTTATTTTTTAAAGTAAATTTCTGTTTTATTGTTAAACCCAAATCTGCAGCCTCGTAAGTATACGCTTCAGTGAAAGAATGCCACAGTATAATTACAGAAACTCAAAAAATATGATCTATCAATTCTGATTTAATTCTGGGATCCGAGCTGTCCAGTAGTAACATTATCTAGGATCATAACACTACCTGGAGCAGATGGACCCATGGCATTAGCTTTTAAAGATGATGTGTTAAGTTTGACTGCCATTTGATTAGTCTGTGAGATGGGTCTTCCAATTTTGACACATACGCCCATATGTTATTAAAAAAACCCATGCGAGTTTGACCAGGCTGGGTGTATGCCTTCATCATTTCTGGTGTCCAGGTCAAAGCAAGGTAGTCCATCGGGTTTGAATGACAATACAACTGAGTGGTTTGCTAATCCATTTTACAGGGCAAACATGAGTCAATCGCATGATTAATATATCCCTGATGATATGTTTGAAGGTGAGAGGTCTCGTAAAATCTAGAACATGGCCTGCCCACCACCTACACTTAACCCTGATTACACTTGAAGAGTATTAGTTTTGGTGGGTTTGAGCTGCAAGAATCACTTGGTTGGCTGCTCTTCACCTATCCCACCACTGCCACTATTTCAGCTGTTGAAACAAAAGGCCCATGCCAAGTGAGAATGAGAATCTCAGCGGTTTTAGTTGTGCTGACTGGTGTCAGTGCACGCCTCCTTTGCTGGCCTGCTGTGCCCTTTGGAGGCATCACTACCCTCAAGGTCATTCTACCACCCACCCTCCACCCAAGACTTTCAAACCTACCCCCTCAAACCCCCTTTCCCTGGCCTGCCGTCTGGCCATGCTGACAGCCCAAATTTGACTTACCTTAAATCCAGGCCCCACTTTATTGGGATTCCCTGTAGTCCCAACAATGACCATCGTTTTCTCTCTGCCCCAATGTGTTCAAGACTATCGAGCTGGCAGCATTCTCATTTACTTCCAACGCTGAGGAGCCGCTGTCGCTATGGTGATAGGCTTACTACCAACATTTTAGCTGAACAGCTAGGATCATGGCAGCCCATAAAAGCCATCCTTTATGTGGATCTAATTTAACATATAAGCCGGACTGTACAAGGATGGTAGAATTCCTTCTCCGAAGGGTATTTGTGAACCAGGTAGATTTCAACAACAATTTGATAACTTTCTGTTCACTATCACTGTGACTTTCTTTTAGTTCCAGATATATGAATTACTCAAATTTAATTCCACTATCTGCCATAGAGGGATTTGATCCAGTGACCCCCGATACATATAATGCTGGTTCATTGGATTAATGGACCGATAATATTATTCCTATGGTAATGATCTCATCATTAAGTCTTGATGTAAAACCTGAAGACACGTATCTCTGATTCAAAGGCAGCAGGACTGAAACAGAGATCTGCAGATCTTATACTATACTCATTGTGTCTTTAAGGAAGGAAATTGCTGCTTTTACCAAGCCGACCAATACATGACTCCAAACCCCGAGCAATTTGTTTGAGTTTTAACTGTCCCTAGATATGTTTTATCAGTTTTATTCAAAAAGCAATCACTCCACCCTCTTCTGATATAAAATGATAGATCGGCAATAAATGCTGACCTTGCCAGTTATGCCACCAAACCATGAATGAATTTAATAAATATTTATAAATCAGCAAAATTTCTAAATTGCTTTCTTAAAACAAAATCTTTCGATAAGAATGTCACCTGAATAGCCTTAAATGCTGCGCCTGGATTACAGTTGAACAATATGCCCCCTATTAACGCATCATTCCTAAAACACACTGGCAATTCTGACCGAACAAAAAATGACATCAATGGAAAACCAGAACACTATGGATGCTGGAAACATGAAAGAAAAATAGGAAATGCTGGAATCACTCAGCAGGCCTGGTGGCATTTATGCAAAGAGAAGAAGTGTTAACAGAGATGTTTCTCTGTTGAATATTTCCAGCATTTTCTGCTTTTCTTTTAAAAATTACACTAATTCATTTGCTACAAACACAAACATGCTATGGTGTGCATTTCAGTTGGAACGCTGCTATTTGGTACCATTATTGCAGTTAAATGAAATGATCCCAGAATGCAGCAAGAAGTGCATTGAAGGCTGCAGTGAATGAGTTAAATGCCTCTAATTTGTGATAGAGTTGTGCCATAAAATTTGGTGAATTATAGTATTTCAGATTTTAAATTTTATACTTTTTAGATTTTATGATGGAGAAATATAATTTTCCAATCAATCATTTTTGTGAAACTGAAAATGTATGCTGTGAAGAGCTGACAATTATAGTGACAACTCCCTCCGTCTCTCCACACTTGCAGAGAAATCTTAAAGAAATTACAAGTAATTTTGAATATTTTACATAAGTACCTATAAAAGCAGGGGTGTCTAAGTGCAGATTCAACTGTTCAAATGTACCTAAAATGTGCCTAACATAAATGAAAATACCAGAAGAAATAAATTTAGAATAAATGTTCAGTATTGAATAAGTTTTAATTTCTTTTATAAATTGAGATTAGGTTTTGTCTTATTTTGGTCAATAAAAATTGAAAACTTTCAATAATAAGAGGCTTGAAGTTATTTGCTGCCCAAAGAGAAGTTGATTCTCACCTGCATAGCATATGTGTGTTAGTTGCATCTACGTAGCAATGGCTACATTTCTAAAAACTTCCAGGGTGTGTGTATGTGTGCATGCGTCTCTCTGTATAAGATTATGAATTTGGATGTGAGTGTGTCTGTGAGAGAGTGCATTTGAGAGTGTAGCTATGAAAGTATGTACATGTGAGTGTGTGAATCTGGTGTATATTGTTCAAAGGCTTACTTCAAAAGCAACAATTTACTGGAATCCAGTAAGACTAAATTATTCCAAATACAGCATAGATTTATTAAATGGTCCTTTTTATCAGAATTTGATTATATTGAAGTTAGAGCTTCATTTTTAAGTGCAAAGTATCCTCAGTGTGGGTGTCTGTTATCCTGCAATGTATATAATAATTAAACTTACTGTAACAAAGAACGGCTGAGCTGTCAAGTTACAGGTGAAAATTAATTTTAAAAATATATATTTCACATGTGATGGTTCAGGCAAACCATGTTTAGTTCCTTAGTAAAGTTATGTTTTAGTTTCAAACTGCACTTATAATTTACATTATACCTAGAGTCACACAGAGACATGACTAATGCTTATTGCAGCAAATACTGCATAAGTATTATTTCTTTTACCAAAAACAAGTTCACAATTGCAAACACAAATTAACTTCTCAAACTTCCATAAACTCTGGACTGTAGCTGATGCAATTTCTGGTCTGTGTCACACACTTCCTCAGAAAATGGTTAAATATTTCCAAACTTGCGCTTGAATTTGATGAAAACATAAGCAAGAGTTAACCACAGTGCGAGAGAGGTTCACTTACAGAAGCGCCCAGAGCCAGCTAGAAAAATCTCATGGAACTTTGTTCCACGTATGTAAACACTGTACTGAAGCTTTATCCGACTGAAGAACAAATGCAAACTGACACTTTTAAAAACTTGCTTGCTCTCCGAAAGAAGAATTACCCACATTTTCAAATTTGGGATTTGAATAAAAATTGCCAAAAAATAATCCAGAAAACAAAATCAACAATATACTCATACTGTTTGTTTTCTCCCCCAAATGCCATTGCCATGTAAATGTCAAACTTAAATATTATTTTCTCACCTTTATAATCTATCTGGAACATTCTGCACTTTGTTTATTTCTTTGTTATTGCTTGGAATCCCTCCTTCAACATGTTTCAAACTTTACCAGCTTTCAGGGTAATTTGGGTACAGATAGAAACCTGACCATAATGGGTGGATCCATCATGCTTATCAAAGATAAACCAGCCAGGAATACACATGTCATTTGCAAAGAACATCATATTATAAAGTTTAGATTAGTAATGGAGAAGAAAAAAATGTAATGTCTAGGTTAGAAAAGGGATAACTTCAATGTGATTATAAGAGCCAGGGTAGAATGAAACCAAAATTGGACAGAGTGTAATGGATCAATGGATAATCTTTTAAGTAGAAGCGATTTCAGGTACAGGTTAAGTATATTCCAACAAAGTGAAAGTCAAGGGAACCAAAATCAGGACTCCTTGGATAATGAGGGAGATAGGGATTATGGTGCAAACACAAAAAAAAATTCCATGTCTGGTCAATAATTAAATTAAGAAGCAAGTCAAATCCTATAGTCACTTGATAGCAAAGAACTTGAGCGTTGCTGGAAAAAGAACCATTTTGCCAAAGCTTCTCATCTTGCTCTCATCAGGACATTTTGCAAGAATATCAATTCAAGAGGAAAACCAATATCTATACTGCTGAACAAGAGAGTGCTGACTGGTTGGTAAATGGACTCTGATTGTTAAAGGTATTGACATACCAAAAGCAATAATTAATGCACCACTCTAACCAATAGGAGCACCATGACCCTGTCTGCAAAAGGGGGACAATTCTCCCTACCTGTCATGTCCAGGGCAAATCTCAGGAAACATGCAGGGCACCTCTGGATTGACAGTGCTTGTTAAGGTGCACAACAGATTTTAAAAATGGTACAGATACAAGTGACGCTGGTCAATTTTGGGATATGACCTGAATGCTATGTTGTTCCGGGAATGGTGAGTTGTAACGTGGGGTTAGGAATTGAATGTGAGGAACACACAGGTTGGGGTGGGTAATTAATGATCTGAGGTTAGTATGATACAGTAGGAAAACCCACTAGGTCTTGCAGTGAAAATCCTTCCAAAAAACTGATACAACTCGGACTTTGTTAAAATAATACAAGATGCAGTACATTGAGGTTTATGGACCACCCACACATGGCATAAATTGGTGTCCTATGCTGTCAGGGATATATGTGCTGCTGGCTGACTCTCACAGCCCCAGGATAATATTATTGATGGCTGAGGAGATTTTTTGTGGGTTGCCTGCCCAGTTGGGTACCTTAATGGGCAATAAACACCTGATATAATGGGTAGCCTGAGAGGCTGTGCCCAAAGTGAGGCTGCTGGTCAGTGAAAGGGATCACTCATTCCCAGATTCCCAAGTCAACTGGAATTCCTACTCTCATGACATTGCTTCTCCATGTCCATGCTACCCCCTACCCTATAAATGATATCCCTGTTGTTCACTCACTGGACTCTGTCAGCCTGGCCCCAGCGAGACCTGAGACTTATCTAAACACCTGGGTGCATTGCTGAACGTGACCTCCTTGGTCTACGTGTAGGACCAGCAGTGACCACCATTTCTGGTTGGTGCTGCCATTGTACAGAGCTGCAGGCCTCTGATTGACTAGTGATTCTATGAAACAATTCTTTCTCCTGGAGATAGAAGGAATTCCTATCTCTTACAAGTTAAAGGTTCAATGTTCGACAAGTGAGGTTAGCCAGCTAAACAGAGGTGGGGTTTCCTATTGAGCAAAATTCACACTGCTGTGTGGGAAGGCCACTCTCCGTGTAAAGTCCACCTCCATGTTTCTAAAAAGGAGATGTATATGCAGTAAAAATGGTTCTCCAATGTCTTTATGTTGACCTGAGATATTAAATGTTTCTTGGAAGTGTAAATTTTCCCTAGATGTTGTGCCTAGTTACCTTTATACCTAATATGGTGCCATTAAAGGCAACATTATACACTTTTCACTGTTCTCTTGTACTCTGTACTTGAGTACACATGACAATAAAATCTAAAATCTAAAAGTCAGTTGGATGGTATCTGGCTGTAAATGAAATTGCGGCAGATGTTCCTATCTTTCGCTGCCATTTTCCTTTATCAGGCCTGTGGAACCCAAGAAGAGAGTGGTGGAAGACATTAGATGGACTCAACTTTGAACCCCTCTGGACCTGATAGTCTGCAAGTAATCCTGGGCCAACAGTTAAAAATTTAGTGAGGATTGAGGGACCATGTAATTCCAGGCAGTGATTTCCTATGTTTGCACTGGTTGTGACAGAAAATTATGAAAATTCTGAGCCTCCCCACATAACACACTTTAGGTACATAGTGCATTTCCAAAATTGGGGTAGGGAGGAGCTTAGAAAGTAAGTATCTGGACCTCAGGCCATTGGTTTTAAGTGAATTTAAGCCAGTGGATGTTTATACAACGTTTATCACTTCCAGTAGATTATGTGTGCTTCTTTTAGAAAACAACTTAAAATAAATTTACCTTTAAAAGTGCTCATAAATGTAAGACAGTAGGATATATGTTATTAACAGAATAAAAATTATTTTATTATTTGGGTGGCAAACATTTTTTGACAGGAACTGTACTTGCCTATTGAGACTCCCCGTAAAATATTTACAGATTAAAATGAGAAACTGCTTCATTCTGCTATTTCCAAACAAGTCTACAGCTAGGTGACATTCCCCTACCACAGCCTAAAACATTACAGGATGGTGATGGCTGAGTAGGCAACGTTGGGGTTGAGCCCAGCTCTTGTCCATTCCATCACTTTTCTTCTTTTTCTTCTTTTCAAATTGTTTTCTTATTTTACTCTTCTTTTTCTCTTTTTTATTGTTTTAGTGTGCTTTTTTCACTTACCTTCTGGGGAGAGCTCAGCCATAGAGGCTACAGCAGTGACGGACCTTGGCAGTGGCTGAGGCCCCAGCATGAACCCAGATGGCAGTTGGTAGTATAGTAGCTGGCGATCCTGGGCAGGATTCCCCCCAGTGTGGGTGAAAGCATGCCCAGCACAGTGCAGAGAGGGCCCTCGTGGGGAAAGCCCAGCATGGAGCAACTGCAGGCCCATGTCTTAAGAAAGGACTGTCATATTTAACATTGCACTTTATTTCTTAATTTTTCTACTTTATACTAATTAGAACTGTAGTGATGAACTTTTTAAGCTATTTCTTTATTTTTCTATTTTTGTATCTCTGTACCTGAGACGGCACTGGGAATGGCACTGTACTCCTGTATCCCAGCACTTGAATATATGTGACAATAAAACCTAAATCTAAATCTTTACACTGCTTTGCTAATAATAGCACATGTAATGGTAGAAATGGAAATTGTGAAAATATTTTTAAAATAAAACTTTATTTGGAGAAGGCTCTTAACACAGGAAATTTCTGTCCTGGTCCAGCAATCTGGGGAATGTTGTGAATGGGACAGAAGTTATTCTGAACCTCTACCTTTATTTTCAACCATCTTTAACTCAACCTCTCCCACGTCACCAAAACTTAATTCAAATATTAACATTATTCATGCTTCTCCAAGTTTCAGAATCAGAGCAACAATGCTGCAAATAGCTCATTCCCACCACAGCAGAGACAGTTTGGGAGAACTGCAGGTTGGGTTTACAGCAATAATCAGTTCCATATGTCAGAATCTGCATTTTACTGGCAGTGAGACTGAGCTCATGTTACTAAATGTGGAGATATATTCAGTGTATTCGTGGCAGTTGCTGTCTATGGAAAGCACCAAAGTTTTGATTCAAAATAGCAATTGGACCATTGCTTTAAAATAAAATTCCATTAAAAGCATTTAATTACTATCTCAGTTACACAGCAGTGAGAGGTGACCATCCATGATCCCTGCTTGGGATTGTGATTAAAAATGACCACGGTAATATTTGTCAGCAGCACAGTCTACCACGTCAAGTTGTCTCTGCTTATTGAAAATATCTGTGCCAGTTAGGTCTGTGGGGAAACCCTTGAAAAATGTTTATCATATCTATAAGACTGTTGTTGAACATCCGGTAAGGTCAAACCACCCCCACCCACTCGCCCTACCCCCAACTGGTTTCCAACTCATCACTGCCAATCCTCCTTTATCTTTCATCTGTGTTTGGAATTTTAAAGTATTACTTATTTTATCCCACACTGCGATCATACCATTTAAAACTCTTGCAACACTGGTCATTTTGCTTTGGGATACATTCACAAAAATGCCAGCTCAACCAGCATTCAGACCAATTCTTATTGTTACTGCATTCCTAGTGGCACATTCAGATACACTCAGAGCCACGTTGTATGATTTGGCTGAGACTTTGATAGAAAGTCCCTCCCATTTCCTATCCTGACTCTATACTGTGTTTCATTCAGCACAAGATGCTTCACGGCTTGGTGGACTGGGGGAGGGGGTGATCAGGTGGTGGGATAGACCTTGGGTTTAGCACAAACTGGATGGTGCCGAATTATAGCCCTGTTTTACGCTCCACCTATTTCTTTTCATTGAAACTGTTGTCTTTCTTTAAGAGAATACTTTGCCTGTCTTATTTTATGACTATGAAAAATAAGTCTCTAAACAAGGATCTTTAAATAATTTGCATGAAAATGCTATTAAGGGTTTACGTCTGTGAGCAGTGCCAAGATATGAGCATTAAGATCCAATGAGGCATTTTGTGCAATCTTGTTTCTCATACACGTGTTCAACTTTAAATGATGGGATCTTGAAATTCTATTGTAATTCAAATAGTCTCCCAGTGGGAGATTGACAAATTCCATTTAGCAATTTTTGAAAAAAGCATCATGTTTGAATATGGGCGGGACCAGCTGGGCCAGAATTTATTGTCCATCCCTAGCTCTCCTTGAGAAGATAGTAGAAGTGAGCTGCCATCTTGAACCACTGTAGTCTAGCAATGTAAAATAACCGGAAATTAATTTTGCTACGTTTCCAAGGAGGTTCCATTGGTCTCCCATTAAAATTACAATTGGAGACGAAAGAATAGATTTTCAGGGCCAGGAACTCCATTCTGAAATTTCAGTAAACTTACTACCTGTTATATCAACAGCAGTTATCAATACCACATCAAGCTGTGACAATCAGGGCCATTCACAACTCCCACAGCAG